AAGATGAACAAAGCTGAGCAAAGCGAAGCAAAGCAAAGATGAACAAAGCTGAGCAAAGCGAAGCAAAGCAGAGCAGAGCAAAGCAGAACAAAGCTTAACAAAGCTGAGCGAAGCAGAGCGAAGCAGAGCAAAGCTGAGCGAAGCAGAGCGAAGCAGAGCAAAGCTGAGCAAAGCAGAGTAAAGCAGCGCAGAGCAGAGTAGAGCAGAGTAGAGCAAAGCAAAGCAGAGCAAAGCAAAGCAGAGAAGAACAAAGCAAAGCAAAGCTGATCGAAGCAGAACAAAGCAGAGCCAAAAACAGTATATGTGCTTCCACTAGAGATGAATACATCTTATACAATACTCACCTGTCACATTAGACAGAGCTTTCATATCACGATTATCGTTTCCAATCAGAACAGCATCAAGATATATATCTGATATCTAAGACAACAGAAATATGTCATTGCAATATGACAGATTTGCTACACACATCTTGAGATCCTTAAAAGGTTACAAGTTGGGTCAAACCAAGATCAACAAGTCATTGTCAATGACACGTCCCCGTTCCGTTCATATTTGAGTGACATATACATTCAAAGCAGATCATGACCGAAATGCACCTGCATATGTACAACACATTGTGCTAAATCTGAACAAAATCCATCCATGCATGACTGAGATCCGGTTCTGGAATTGTGAGAATACGTGATTTTGATGCATTTTCGGCCTTAAAATGGCCATCATTCCGCTATTGTTAAGCAGATCATGAAACAAATGCACATATCTATTTGTGACATGATGTACCATGTGTGTGTGAAGTTTGAACTTGATCAATCCAGACATGTCTTGGATACGGATCCAGAACTGAATTCTTTAACAAAATGGCCGCCAGTCGGCCATTTCGAACTTGATCCGGAAAAAAAAGACGTGCATCAAGGTCCTATTATGTTTAATGTATGTACCAAATTTGAACAAAATCCATCCATGCATGACTGAGATCCGGTTCTGGAATTGTGAAAATACGTGATTTTGATGCATTTTCGGCCTTAAAATGGCCATCATTCCGCT